CTCTCTCTCTCTCTCTCTCTCTCTCTCTCTCTCTCTCTCTCTCTCTCCCCTCTCTCCTCTCTCTTTCTCCCTCCCTCTCTCTTTCTCTCTCTCTCTCCTCTCTTTCTCCTTCCCCCTCTCTCCCAACAAAACAAAATATCCAAACAAAAGGAAAAAAGGCCAAAACAACAACAGCTCAAGCCCTATGGCCTTGTGGTTGATAGGCTTATTGACACTCTGTTAGAGAAAACTCATTTTGCATCTGCCATCAGCTAGCAATTGCATATAGTTTCTTGATTAGTGATAGGAATTTGCACCCACTTCCTGTTTTCATGTTAGGATTTTTATTTCTCTGGCTTGAACATGTGCAGATATCGTGTGTGTTGCCACAGTCCTGTTACTTCATAAAACTGTTGTGTGCAGAAGACACTATTGCCTTGCAGTCACCCACTGCCTCTGGCTCCACATAAATCCCTGAACCTCGAGGAGAGGGGTATGATAAGGGCGTCCAATATAGGGCCAAATGCTCCACAGAATCACTCTCTGTGCATTGTTCAGTTGTGGGTCTTTGTGTTATTACTGCAAGAAACATTTCTGATGAGGAAATAGCATCTCTGATCTATGGGTATAGAAATACATGACCTATCTAGTTGTAGGTTCTTAGCCACATTAGCAGTTTGAGGTGTGAGTTCCATCTCATGGAGCGGTCCTTAAATCTAATCAACAGGTCACTCTCTAACATTTCTACTATGATTGCACCAGTATATCTTGCAAACAGGTTGCTGTTATAGGTCACAGGGTTAAGACTACATTCTCTAAACAAAACTTGTGGATGTTGCATACATATTCCTCTGGATTTAAATATTTATGCTGACAATGCTAATTGTTTCCTTGACAATAACTCCTCCTTCCTGTGTCTTTAAAAATGGTTCCACTTTCATTCTTGTCCAGTTAGGCAGAGTTGCTCAAACCTCTAATCTCAACAGCAAGAATGTTGAGGCAGGAGTATTGCCATGGGTTCAAAGACAGTTTTGGCTGCAGAGCAAGACCTAATTACATAATATGAATAATGACAATAATGATAGTTACATCAAATAAAACTTACCTTGTGTTTCCATTTCCAGGAAACCCTTGGTCTATCTGAGCTCATTTAAAGATTTCTTTGTGTCAAGCTCCTGGACTCTGAAATACATGTATATTGCTTTTATAGCAGCCATGTTATTCATTTCCTCTACCTTTTGGGCTTTATTTTATGTATTGCCATTTCTTTTCATTGTAACACCATACATTAGTTATTCAGTAGCAGAAGCAGGACATATCAGGGGTCTTATGGCATCCACAGGTAAGAAGCAGACTACAATGAATACTTCTGTTTTAGCTTGTTATCTTTTTATGCAGTCCTGGACTCTGCCTATAGAATGGTGTAGTCTACATTTTCAGTGCATCTTTCCTCTTAAATTAATCTAATATAGAAAACTCCATCACAGACATCCTCAGAAGCTTGTCTCCTCAGTAATTCTATATACTGTCAACTTGGCAACCATTAAGCATCATAAATCTATACATGGTCCATTTGACATCCAAGCACACCAATTTAAGCCATAACCTTCAACTCTTTGTCCCCATAGGCTTATGGCCACCTAACAATGCAAAATAAATTCAGTTCAGCTTCAAAAGTCCCCCTAGTCTTTAACAATTCTAAAGAATAATACTTAAAAGTCCAAAATCAGAGTATCTTCTGTGACTCCAAACAATTTCCTTACTATGAGCTATTTTTTTTTAAAAAGTTACATAATTGCAATATACAATGGCACAGAGGGAACAGTTACATTCTAAAAGGGAAGACAGGGTACTAGGAGACTCCCTACCCTCCAACACACCCCATTCAGCAAGAATTCTCCTTCAGATTCTATATTAGGCATAAACCATACCCAAATACCTGTTTCACAGAGAGATCCTTTACTAAGTGGAAAAGAAAAATTTAAAGTGTCTACATTCTGACTCCGGCATAAAAACAGCACCAACTGTCCTTACAGGTGTCATTTTTAAAAGAGAAAAAGGAGAAGGCTGTGTTAGAATGGGCTGGGATGCAATGGTATATTTTTGATTGGCTATGCTAATTAGGTGAAGTAAATGGTGTTTTTGATAGTTGGACTTCAAACTTCTGATAGTTGGACCTTGCTAATCAGCCTCAGGAGGAAGAAGTGACCAAAGAAATGGAATAGACCTTGGTAACTAGCTTGAGGAATATAATCTGATGACTTTTAGCAAGGAAGAGGAAGGAATGGGGAAGAAGGGCAAAGCCTGACACAGCCATGCTGCCAGAGCCCCGTCATAGGAATCATAGCAAAAAAATGTAATTGAGCCAAAGCAAAACTGAAACTCCATAAGGTAAATACCTTACTTTCTTAGCTTTCTAGCTTTCTGAGAAATCATTCTTCATTTTCTACTCCTGTAGCTGTGTCTAGCACCTGAGCTTAGAGTGGAATCATCTATGCTCCAAACATCTGTCTATCTTTGCTACCCGTAGCATGCTAAGCCTCTCTATTGAGCTGGCTGTAAGCCATGTCTGCAGAGTTTCTTCAGTGAAAATCCCATGAACTTTGGTATCTGTTACAGCTACAAAATTCTCTGCAATTTAGGCTTCACCTTCACAGCTTCATGCAATGGCCTTCAAGGGCCGCCTTAGGGCAACCCTGCCATACAGTGAGTGCATGGTCTCAGACTCCAGGACCCCTTCAGTCCTACATCATTCATGCCAGTAGAATGTGGATGACACTCGTATGTTATAGGACTAGCTCTGGATAAAGCCTGGCTCTCTAGGGCCATAGTTGTATTTGCTTCTGTGCATCAACACAGAAAAGTATTTCCCTAGGTGGCTGCTTTGAACAGGGAAGTATTTCAGATTTTAGTTTCAGTTTAGGGTTTTTTACAAATGGACCATTCTTGGGTGAGGCCTTTCCCTCAGGAATCCTTTTCCACAGTGTAGATCACAAGCTTTCTCTTTAGTGATGCTGAATTCATCAATAAGACAGATGCTTTGTCATCTGCACTCCTTTTAAACTACTGTTCATAAAACTTTCCTTGCCAAGCTTCACATATTTCTTAGCTTTCTGCTAAAATTTGCTCTTTTACTGTAGACTAGGGTGAAAATGGTAAGCAATTAAAAAGACATTATCAAACTATGAGTCTTTTACCTTTAAATTCTTCAGTTAAGTGCTCAAGGAACATGCTTTAAGTCAGAAGACACCCAGATTCTTTACCAGAATATCACATAAATAGCTCCTAGTTCAGTTCCTGATAGAATCTGTTTCCTTGGGAAACTCTGAGATGGACATCCACTATCAGTGTTTCTCTTGGCAGTCTAGTCTTCTAAACTTTCACTAGAATAACCATAAGCTCTATGCACAGTATTCAAGGACTTTTTAGTCCAGTTCCAAATTCTTCCACATTCAACTCAAAAGCTATTTCCAAAGCCCCTAAGAATTTGGTCAGCTTTATCATAGCAACATCCTGGAGAGATGCAGCACACTGACAGAACAAAGTTTGGATACCACCAAAGTTTAATTTAGTGAACCATTGAGGTTTATTCTGGTTATTTATAGAAATATGGGTGAACAGTTACACAGAGAGAATCCTTATCCTGTATAGAAGCATCACCTGTCATTAAAAAATGCTGTTGGTCCATTAACTCAAGAAATAGAAAGGTGGAAGTTCCAATATAGAGAGATGAATTCTGGGTAAATAAATACTCAAGTCTGGGAGATTTGTTCCAGACACAGAAGACCATCCTGTGAAACTGAGGACCAAGTAACCACTCAAATGGCAGAACTTAGAATGAAATAAATGGGTAATTTAGACATGAGCTAGTTGGAGAGCAGACCTAAACATTTTTTCATATGTAATTAAATCTCAGAGTTATATTTCGAGGAGCTTATGCAAAAAGTGGGAAAGCTGTAAGTTGCAGCATTACTTACAGGAACACAAAGTCTCAAAGACAGTTGTATCAATAAAGCCCACTCCAGCACTAGTGACAGCTATTAAGTTGGGAACCTGAAACAGATTGCACAGCAATCACCTAGTTGAAGAGTGTCCCTCCCAGATGGCTTAGTTGCCTATGCCTATTCCTGGAGACTTGACTTTACAGCTTGACTTTTCTGTCTCTTAATATTTACTCTTGGGAGGGAAGTTCCT